ATTTATTCATGTTTCTCTTATGAACAAAAACTTTGAACATTCCTCTATCAGCGACGAAACAAAATAGGTCAGTTGATTGAAATAGAGTGAAGATATTCAATTTTTTTTTCTGTAAATCACTGGTGAGTCACATCACGTTGAATGTGTTAAATTATATTGGGTTGTTATGACATACGACTCAAAACAAAAAAGTGGTACCAGACCTTTGAGCTGCACTGTATCACTAGTTATATTGACTTCCACTCACAATATTCATAGATTTTAGTTGAATGCTGTGTCTTGAAAAGATGTAAAAGAAAAATTAACACAATAAAATACCGGCTTCAAGTTTAAAGATGTTTCTTCCCAAATCATTTGACAATGTAAATATCACATAGATATTTGAGATATAACGACTGATGTTTCTAATCCTTCACAGCCGAATAAAACTGATCAGAAAAGTATGGTAAGCTCGTTTTATTAACATCTTAAAAAATAAAACAGTTAGATTTCCTCTACTTTGATCCCATATCATAGACCACACATAGACTATAATGTATCCTAATAACACAACTTTGTATCATTGTCGAGAAATAGATAGATGAAGTCTATATATTGTATGTTAGTCAATTTTGATACTCACTGTATTCCCACTGTAATTAAATGTACCTAGAAAACTATGTAATGATTAAATGATCATATTATTTCAGTCAAGGATGACGTTACATAATGTTTCAGTGTAAAAATTATCAATATCTATGACTATAAAACTTGAACTATCCAACAGTTCTTTTCAAAATAATTAGTTTACTTCCCATACAGCTCTTAGAAGTTAACAATAAAATGTTACATGTCTAGAAAAGGATATCATTCGAGTATCTAGAGAATATTTTCCATATCGGATAGAGAAGACTAGAAAGCTATATTTTGATTAGATTTTTTTGAGGAACTATTTCATTTGAATCGAAAAAACGATTATTTTCAGAGGAAAAAAGTGAAAAATATGAGCAATTCAACAGCAAGCAGCGAGTCTCTATTCATTGATCTCATCAAGTATCGTCTTCTCACATCGATCGGTGTAACTAACATCGTTATGGGTACGATAGGTAACCTTTTCAACATTGTACTATTCACTCGTGATTATGTCTGGCGTCAATCTGCATGTATACCTTACCTACTAGGATCATCTATAGCAAGTGTGATTGTTATTTATACAGCTACTTTAACACGCATGTTATTGGGCTTCAACATAATGCTTCTCACTTCCAATCGAATTCTTTGTAAAACGTTTCTTTATATCGCGGGTACTTCGAATGGATGTACTACATGGTTTATGATTGGTGCTTGTTTTGATCGTTACATATCATCATCAGGTGTTGTCACAACACGACAAATTAGTAATATGCGTACCACACGACGAATAATGACTATAACTACGATTGTCATGTTGATCACTTATGCTGAAATTCTCTATTGTTATGAGTCAGGTAATACAATTACTATAGCACCATGTGCAAACAAAAATGACATTTGTGGTAATCTGGATATAGCTCTTACTTTTATTGTTCAATTAATCCCACCACTTCTGTTAATAATGTACTTTGGAATGGGTACATTTTTCAACATTAGAAAATCGTCTCGATTACATCGTGTCGAAGTCAGTTCTATTGTGTCAAGCATTCCCCAAGCAACAAGAAGAGCTAAAATGGCAAATGAGCGAGCTATTTTGCGCGTGGTATTTATACAAGTGGTTACCTTTTGTATATGTCAATCGCCTTACGCAGCTGTAAAAATGTATCAACTTCTAACTATAACAACTGTTAAGAACGATGTTCGTCGTTCAATAGAAAATCTTGTAATCAATATGTCTGCATTAACATATGTGCTTGACAAAACATATTCATTTTATATTTACACATTATCTAGCGGTTATTATCGTAAACAATTAAAACGATTGATTGGCTCAGTTTTTCGTCGGGCTCGAATTATACCGATAAACTGAAAAAGTAGTTCCTAGAATGGGCCACATATTAATCTAGAATGAGCTAAACACCGATTGTAAGCTTCAATACACATTAAAACCTGATGAAATCGTTGTGTATCTATTTATCGCTTTTTGTCGTGTAGATTCTGAGTGTAATATGTAAATGTATATTCAAAGTTGCTTTCGTCTTGTCTGCATGTCAATGTAGAAGAATCAATAAAATGATAAATTCAAAATAGGGTATGGCTGCGGCTGTGGCTGTGAGTGTGGATATGAATCTTCTCTTCAACAGAACCCACACTCACATCCACACCCTCATTTTATTGCCTGTCTTGTGCTGAATCCTTCGTAGATTGATGATTAAGCATAATCTGTCATATTATGAATACAGAAATTAATAATATACATTATTATTTTATATTAAAATTAGGTCGATTGTCATCGTCGAGTTACCTTATATAATGTTTATTTCGATTAGTTGAGCGAACAAAAACATTTGGAATGTTAAATGTAGCTTCAAATAAATATTTGAGTTCAATAATCTACAACAGAAAAAAACATTAGTTGTACGAATGAAATTACTTGATATGTTGTTCATTTGAGCAATTAGAAAGAAGAAAAAGTTGTAATATTAGGAGTAACTTGGAGTAAATATCTACATTGAATAGCCTATAGCAGGAAGATAGAAATGATGAAATTAGAGAAAACATGACCTTGGAAACGCTTCAGTGGGGGGCCATGTGAAAGAGATCAATGATAATAATTTAAAATTTTTGTTTATACAAATATTTGGTATGAACAGTCTGCAATAGAAAAATTAAGGCGATAATTTTAAAGATAAGACTATATTTTGGACTGTGCTGTGGGAAAATCTGAAAAAAGGTTTCAGTTTCATATTTTTTCTGAACTAAATACATTATTCGAAAAGCCTTCCGCAGAATATGTTACATTGTGTGGAAGAAGCATAATTTTGAATATTGAAGTGTATTTGTACACTAATCATTGAGAATTCGAACGAAAAAAAGAAGGAGACATTGGTAATTCAGTTGTTTGAAGTTTTCATATAAATGTTTTATAACGGAAACTTAAGTGAAACGATTGAGCACTGGTTGGGGGGGGGGGTGTGGGTGTATGTAATAAAGGCAAATGATGCCCACACGCACACTCACACCCTTTTTATGTTTAGTTCTGTTGCAACTAAACTATAATAAATGTTGTTAAATTTATAATAATACTTCAGACGGATTGTAAGAGTTAAAACTAACAAATTATCATAAAAAAATCAAAATTTTAGGTATATTTTGTGATAAAAAGATAATTCACAGGAAAGATAACAGCAGCCAAAGTATTTGTTAAACAATATCCGGTTTATTTGTCCATATTGTCAGTTTAATGAACAAGATCATGTCATCTAAATGTACAACACAACTTATGAAGATCACTTGATTTTTGATTGATTTTAGTAGACAGTGGTCCAAAACGATCGAGAATCGCTTTAATGTGTCATTGTTTCTTAGAATGCACAGCCATATGTACCAGTTAAGTATGATCAATAATTTATAATAGCTCGCTGGCGATACTCCGATGAGATAGTCAGCGAAGTAAGGAAGAGTTTCACATGAAACTGTTTTGCATTCCAACATTAATATGATATAGTACGAAACCTAAAAGAGGTTCATATGAAACCTTTTTCAATTTGAACTTCCATGAAGGCATGATACGAAACCTTTTTTTATTTCAGAACCTTTTAGCGTTATCGTGCCAAACCTTTTCTTCTACTAAACCTACATGAGGTTTCGGAGGTTCGTAGAATACCTCTAAAAGTATAATAAAATACCACCGAACCATACAAGTTCGGTACGGCACCTTTTTTTCTTCCAGTGTGAAGGAGAGGTGCCTGACACATTTTTGTAGAGCGAATCAAGCTCTATCATAATCTAAAGATTCAAGACAAGTGTATTTTCATTTATCAAGATGCAGATTTTGAAATGAAGACACCTAAGAGTAATGGAAAAAGTTGTCCCTAATTACGACAGTCATTTTTGCTTTTGTGCTACATTATAACAGTCAACTATGCCTGTGACGATACTTCATTACAAAATTAGTATACAAGGCTTTATTGAGAAATAATGTGTTCATATATGACCCCTTATATATATATATCAGCTTGTGGGCGTAACGTGTCACCTCAATGACCGGGAGTTCGAATCGATATTTTAAGAAATCATTATTACCATGTTGTAGAGCATAATAAAAATGTGTGGAAACATATTTTGTTCCGTTAATAAGTGCTTTGAAACTCATCTGGTAAACGGTAACAAAGAAGCCACTAATAGATAAAGGAAATTACTCTATTTAGACCACTAGTTTATCTAACCCATATATTGAAGCAGTTTGGCATATAAAACGTTGACAAAGGCTGTATAAGACCATAATAACTGATGTATCTTTTGACACAATATTTGATTTTATATGTATTATACTTTTTGGCAGCGATTGTTCATTAGGGAATTCTACAGTATAGGATTAAATTCGGCAATTCTGATGTGCTGTTTAGTATGCCTGGGCTGAAAGATGTTAATCGTAATACAGTACAATGAGCTTAAAATAAGTGAAAACAGTGTTTCTAACGTATCTATGATGAAGTAGTGTAATAAAAAAAAAAAGAAGTTTTCTCATCACTCGCAAGGTCTTGTGCGTGTTAGCAAACAATATGGTATAATCCATCGAGTTAGTTATGAAAGTTGATGAAATGTTGAAATTTCCTAGTGTATTTATTTGAAAATGAAGTCATGTGATAGCATCAATGATATTTCATTGAATTTAGTTCAACAAATATGACGATAGATTTTAGATTTTGTTCTCTGAAAATTCGTTAGAGAATGAGAAAAGTTTTGTGCAAGATAGCAATACTGGTTTCGACTTAACCTTTAACACGAAAACGAACTTTAGATCGACGAAAGAAAAGTCAGGTGCATTCTTTCTCCATTCACAAAGGTGAAAGTCATTGTCTCTATACAGGTATGGTCGCCATCAGTAAGTTAATACTTATAAAGACAAACGTCATCGTTCGATATAGGGTCAACGTGGTATGTATCCTTTTGCTGAAGAATATTGAGAGAAACCGTATGTTTTTTGCTATTTTGTTTGACATAGCTGCCGATCTTGTCATAAATCCCTGATCCGTTCAGATGTCATACAATAGAAATAGCTCTATGTTTTCATGCTCATCAGTTTTTATTCGAGGATTTATTCAGAAAAAAAACCTTCAAGAAACATACGTTTTTCTTTGGATCTGAAAAATGAGTCATCCGTCAAGAGAACATCAAACTTATGATGATTTCAAATGGATTACTCAACACTGGATTCTATAGAAATACGTTCCATTTCCTATCTCAAATATGAACTGCAGAACTTGTTAACTCAAATTCTTTTCTAACCTGGAAATGTGTTGACAACGACATATTGCGCATTATTTAAACATTAGACAACAACAACAAATATTCTTTTCTATACTTACCTTGATATATTGTCTTGTTTTCAACACTTCAAAGTTCGACATAGCAAAAGGACAATTATTCTCTCTTTATAACGTCTTGTACAAACAAGATAGAGAACTGCAGTTTCCACTGTTGGAAAGAGGAGATGTAAACTCACCGAACTATACATTATAAGATAATTTGATCTAGTTTTTTCAAGGACTTAAGTCGACGTCTTGAAAACCAACGTACCCTGATAAGTACCTGAACTGAATTTTAAATAATAAAATGTGTGCATTCGAAACGCTAATCAACGATCTACAAAACTGCGCACATCCTAGATTTTAAAATTTACTCGCTCAGGAGTTATTTAGTTTTTTTTAAAAAACGTGCTTAAAAGATAAGAAAACAGTTACTATCATCATTTGATAAGAAATATATATATATATATATATTCTTAATCTCATAATGCATTGAAAAAAAAACTAAAAAAATGGTGCAATTTATGAAATATTTTCTTCGTTTACAAAATCATTTCTATGAACATAACCCATCAAGTAATTCCTCATGTCCATCTACACCTCTTAAATGGTGTATTAATGATTATGATGGATATAAATTTTGTATTCAAAATCCTACACTTCTTCCATTATCTATTTTGGCTTTATTAATCGGTCTTTTTTGTTCAAAACGTATTTCTAAATTATCAGGAAAATTTCCATCACGATGGTTTTATTACTTAGCATTTTTTCTTTATGGTATTATGATGACATCAGCTGGTATATTACATTGTTTTATAGGTGATCCACCAAAGAATAAAATTTCATTGAAATTTATTCAATTATTTGTTACAATTATTGATTGTAGTTTAACAACAAGTATTGCTGTTACTTTTCTCTTTTGTGGTTTATCTGATATTCAATTTTTAAATCCACAATCCATTTTTACACATTGTTTACTCTTTAGTTCATATTTTATTCTTTTTCTTTTATGGACTTTAGCAATAATACATGAATGGAATACGATAATTTATGCACTTTATGTTGGTGTTATATCCATTTGTTGTTTTGTTTATTTAATTACACAATTATCTATTAAATCAAATCGTCGTGCATTACCAATACTTATTGTTGGTGGAATTTATGCAAGTATTGGTTTAATTGCAGAATCATTTGGTGCGGAACATATTTGTACATCAGAAGGTCCATTTTGGTCACAATATTTTGGGCCAGAATTTATATGGTGCCTTTTTGCGAATATTAGTATGGCATTTATATTTATTTATGTTATACGAACTAATATAGAAAAACAAGTGATTATTAAAAAATATCCTATTGATATGGAAAAAAATCCTGAGAAATTTTAAATTTGATTTTTTTCGTGAACATTAATCTTCTTTTTTTGTAATTTAATAAATAAATGAAAGAAAACTTTGAACAGATATCACTAAAATTATTGATCAATTTAGTTCAGCGGACTAATTGAACCATTGATCGATTGAAATAGAGAGAAAAGAGGATGAATATTGATATATGCAATATGTATCAAAGATATGAAAATTATTTGACAGAGAGCAAATTAACATCACAAGAAGATGACTATTTAATCACCGAAAATGCACAGAACTTGTTAATCATGTTATTTACGTTTTCCGAGGGTCTAAGTGAGTGTGTGGGTATTGGTATGGCTCATTGTGGTTACTTCCCTCCTTCACACCCACATCCTCAACTTTTTAAACTCAAGCTTCCAATGAATCCATTTCTCTCGGAAAATTCTCGTTTGAAAACTACGGTTTTCTTCAAAAAGCTATTTTTGAGAGGATCCTACCCGTCGGAAGGAAGAATATGTAGAGTTGAAATTCTTAGCGAAGGTAGAACTCTACAAATTCTAGCTCTGTTAAAAATTTCGCGCTTCTATTTTGTTTCAATCACAAGTTATGATTCACTGAAGTAGTCGAAAATGTAGGTTTTCATCCATGTAGGATGAGTCATAAAAAACTAAGCGCTCAATATTATGACTAGAAAATTTTATCCTGAGTAGAAATTATAGAGATATATGTGTACAAAAACTTTCAGCTCAATCGGTCGAGCGATTCTTGAGAGATGATTCTGTCAAGACTACAGTTAGTTGAAATGTAAGTGTCTAAAACTTTTCATAAAACATTCATAGAGAAACGAGGGTTCAATATTTTTCAAAACGGCATGCGTCGAAATTCATAAAACCCTTCCCTCGACAACGTTATCCTAAATTGAGCAAAACTTGACGCCTACTTGATTGAACAACTCCGATCGTTGCCTACTTCGCATGACTAATATGCGAAATTCAATTATAAGGTCTAAAATTTAATTTTCTCAGGCAAATATATAAAAGTCTAATATTTCTGGTATGCACCTAACTCGAGTAGGCCTAGTAACTGGCAAAAGATATGAGTTTTCGTAGGTTGGAAAAAACAGTGTGTATTGGAAAATCACTCTAGTATTCAACCCTTTTGGGTCTTCGAAGAATTAATTCACCGTGCTCTATCCACTGATAGCATCAGGTCCAGATTTGGAGGTCTTCGTGCGTCTTTTACAAATACTCTATTCTTCTCGGCTTTTTTCTTCAGGAGAATAAAGCAATACAATTGCTTGCATTGTCCACTAGATTCGTCGTTCGATTGACATGATTTTTTTTTATTCGATTGAGATGTTTTCTTTTTACATTCATCAGAATCCATAGTTGCATAACACTTTCATAAGAGTACAATCAATCAAGCTCTATACCGGGCTTGTTTTTTCTTTGACGAGCGTATTCAATAATTGAAACACTGGATCCATTTCTTCTATTTACTCAGATGAATTCGAATGTTTTTTATTTAAAGCACTGTTCTTTGATTCGTATTCATTTTATATTTTTATATAAAGCAAAAAGAATGAATTCATACATTCAACCATCGATTATACCGATGTCAGATTCAAGCAAACTATCAATATGGGACTCTGTCGAAGAGAATGAATCATCACCACAGTCATCGAACATTCCAGTATACAAGCCCAAGTTGTGGGAATCATTCTCGATTGGTCTGGTCTTAACCATCTCCTTGGGTGGACTTGTTTTGACCACCGTCACTGCCATGTATATTATAGGTAATATTGAGCTTTTCTTTCTTTTTTACAAAACATATCGTTGCAATAACGCGACGAATGAGCCTGTTGTTTGTCATATCTATTTACCAAACTGCCTATTGTTCTTGTTAAACCGTCCTATTCAAATAAAGTCTAGATTGAACGAAGTATTGCAAGTGTAGAAAGCAACATTTTTGAGAGTAGTGTATTTTCGCTTCTAGAACATTCTGGATCATTCCAGGACAGCAGCAGATCTGATGATTGAAGTTGCACATATACTAAATGATGTAATAGACAGTGATAAGAATAATCAGCAGCATTTCAATATGCTCGTAAAGACACGATAAGAAATATTGGAAGTACCCAGTGAAAAATTTTAGCAATTAAAATTTCAAGACTCGATGGACCTAATCAAAATTATTAACCTGATTATTCTGCACCAAAATCCAAATTATAATTAATTATAATTTGGATTTTGTTTTGCAATAGCCATGGTGACAGTTCTCATATAATTGATTTCAGCCCGATTTTGATCCATCTTTTATACTCTTGTACTGGTTTGTAAATGATAAGATGAAATAAAACTAAGGAGAAACTTTTCTCATGCAAACAAATAACTAAAAAAAATCGATTTAAATAAGATTTTTTTTTGCATTTTTTTTACATGAGAATTGTCTGCTCTTATTCTATCCTACCTATTAATCTACTTCAACCTCGTATTATCTGTTAACCACTTTGAATCGCTTATCTTTTCTTAATCGATTTCAATCTAGTCTTACTTTTTAATTGATTATAATCATACACATTGAAGATGGGTGCTTTTCACAGTATTTGAACGCGAGATCCTAATTCTTTATGATTTTTTTGGATTGCTCGTGTTTGACAACTATGAAGTTGTCATCGAGCTAAACTCCGGCCACTAAAGCAAAGTTGGAACTGAGAAGATACAATTACATCAGAAATCGATTAAAGATCAGAAACTCGATTAACACATTCGAGACAACGTGATCCACCGGTAGATCGCACTAATAGAGTAGCCGAAAAGTTTCTTTACCAGAGGAAAAATCGAATATCTCTATCATATTTTGATCAAAGTGGCTGATTTTTTTTACCAATTGATAAAAGAATGTTCATAACTCATATTCATAAGAGATGCGTTAATAAAAGCTTTTCTGAAGTATTACAATTGCCTTCAATTAAGAAATAGAATCGATTTTAATCAATTGTATGCACATTTATACTTTTTACTACATAAAACTTCTGTATGTATAAAGCGCTTTTGTAATTGCAGCTCTAACACATTGTACGCATCGCATGTATACATTCTACATCTGGAAATAGTCAGTTACACTTTATTACTACTTTTGGAAATCGATTATAATCAATTATAAATCCATCGATTGGATATTTATTCCCAGGCGAGCAAAAACGGGGTAGGACGGGCAACATGTCTAGTCTGAAACGTCAGTATTACTCGTCATGTCTAGTCCAAAATATTTTGTTTGAGAGTCCAGTCTAGTCTGTTCCACATGAAACGTTGTACTTTATATCTGGACTAGTCAGAAATTTCTGGAAACCACGTCCAGACTAGTCTAATGCGTCTTGAGCCGTAGTCATGTCTAATATATTGTACATAAAATGACATGCTTCAGCATTTGGACTAGTCTAAAATTTATAGAAGTCATTCTATGTCAAGTGGAGAATGTCTTTTTCACCAGTCAAGTCTAATCTATTCATATTGTCCAGACTCGTCAATAAAACAAAAAAAAAACAGAACGATAGATGGAGATAGGTGGATTCGAACGTTTGATCAGAGGGTGTGGGTGTGGGTGTGGAATTAGAATCGATCGACACCCACATCCACACACCCACACCCACATTCTAGTCAATCTTCGACGTTCTCTATGAGATGCGTGAAAGGGTACTGGTGTGGGTGGAATGTGTTGAATAATAGAAGATTCAAGTCCAAATTCACACTGTAGTTATATTGAAGGTAAAGATGTTTATGAAAGATTCTACGGTAAAATGTTAGCAAAACGTTTAGTTGATCAATTAAGGCCCTCTCAATAATCGATCTCAGCCTAGGAATGTTCAAATGACATGAAATTCTCAGGATATGTTATAGCTGTAGTGGATAAGCTATGGTGAAATTTTCAGCCCGATATCATGATGTGTGAGAGAGATATTGATCAAACAAGACTCAAAAATAGCTTATTTGGCAAACCAAGTTTCTGTCCAAGTTCGTTATAGAGATTTATTTTTTTTTTTGAAAGAGCATGTCAGGATGCCGTGCAGTACAGAGTCCTTTTTTTAAATGCTTACTTTTTAAGGAAAGAAAAAGGATCGAAAGTTTAATGACTCAAAAAATCCTTAAAAAATGGGTGTCGAGTTATATAAGTAACTGTATATATAATAAAAAGAAGGCTTAATTTTAAAAAAGTGCCCTTCCTATGCATTTATCTTAATCTCGACCATTCTGACAAAAACGTGACTTTTTTTGAGGAGGATCTTTTAAGTGCTTCTGACGCTTATGAAAAATCAATGATATTGCTATTGAAAGTAAATAACCTCTCTATCTCGATTCGTAATTATCACTTTTTTTTCTTTTCATAGAAAACATGTGGTTCTGCATATATATTGAAATTTGAGCAAATACTTAAAAATATTGAGAATGGTTAAAAATTTAATTGATGAATATCGAATATATTATGAAAATAAAGATCTGAAAAGTATTGGTAAGACATATTTTTGATATACTTCGAAAGAAAACTTTTGTCAAAAATTTTTATAATCGATTGTTCTGTAATGGTGTTGAATTCGAATTCATGGTCACTCTCATCTCAAACAAATATTATTTTACCTTAAATTGTGCAGTTGAAGAAATATAAGATAAAACACAAATTTCATCTGAATTATTACTTCAAATACTTTGTAAGTTTATTGAAGACTAAAATATTATTTTCAAAAGACATGATTGAAGATTTTCATGATAATGATATCAAAATGAATCACAGAGTTGAATTAACTAACGATTTTACAAGGTAAAGTTGTTTTGTCTTTGAAACTGAAATTCAAAATTTGTTTTTTTTAGTTAGAAAATTCGAGTAAATCTGAATATACGATTAAAATCAATGAAACAAAAACATTTGGAATGCTTAAATAAGGCAATCGATGAAGATCGTAAATTTGTTGTGCAAGTAAAAGAAAAAAAAACTAGAATTTGTAGCTATGAACTATGATTTTTTCTAGGAAGTTGTAATACAAAGAATGAAACAATGAAAAAGTTTAAAACATTCATTTTTGATGCAAGAAGTTATTCAAGAATTAAGTTTACGTTTTAAATCTAAAGTTTTCTTTACTTAAGGTAAAAGTGTTTTATTGAATATAAAAAACAAAAGTAATTTAATGATATAAATTTATCTGATAGAAATGTCTTGATTTATTAATTAATAACAAATATCTTAAACGAGAATCCGAGAACAAAGACATTTTACATTATCAAAATTAAGATAAATTCATCAGTATCTATTGAGAAATTTATTTTTATTGTTGATTATGACAGGTATTTACAATTTTTTATTCTTGTGAATTGTAAGTGTGTTTAAGCAAGAATTTATAAGAAAAATATATTATATAAAAATCACTGTTAATTAAATAAGAAGAACGAATGTAGCGTCTAGTAGAATATTAGCTCATATATTTTACTCTCTTCAAACTCGGACTAAATTATGCGTAATTTCATCACTTGAACACAACGAGCTAAGATTTTATTTTACTGCAGTCAAACCATGACATATGCTGATGCTCTGCGTAATTTCCAAATCATACTGATAATGATGAAAATCGCATCAGCGGACATCGTCATGCCGATCGCTTCTATTTTCTACTCTCTATTACTGTTCTCGTCTTCGTCGTCGCTAGACAGAAACGAATAGTACGCAGTGAATCATATTGTCATTAGTCTGTTCTTTGTAAAGACAGCCCTGTGTATGAAGAAAAAAAAAACATCACCTGTAATGCAGGAAAGAAAAACGAAAATTGCACAACATGCAAAAGCAAACAACATAAGACACAGAAATGCAAGGTGCTCTTATGGATCGAGCCGCGATTCTGGGACTAAAAATTGCCCACTTCCAAATGAGCCAATAGCATATGGACGCAGAATTTCGGTTCTGCAGTTTCGGAATTAAATCGACACTCGATCTGAATTATTTTTTATTTTTCAAATTCATTGTAACATGTATTATACATGTCGTTCGGTATCTACGATTACTGTTCGATCAAAATCATATATAAACCTAACTTGTCTCTTTGTAAAGCACATTTTGACATATCTTGATAAATGAATTCAGATACTTAAACTATTCGAAATTCGCAAATATTTGTTGAATGTGCATAATGATTGTTGATCAAATAGAGTTTTTTTCGCAATTTCAGCACAATAGACTACCAAAAATAAAATCCGGATAGTGTATCTTGTTGATCTTGATGAATTATAGAAGACTGTGTATTTATATTGGTAACATATATATCCCACTAATGACTAGAGTCGACTATACGAGCCAAGGACACAATCAAGAGTATATCTAGTATAACTATTTATGAGGCAACTGAAAAAACTCTTAATATACTCTGCTCCATTTAGTTTCCCATGTTGAAAATGAATTTCATCTTATCGAAGACATGTTCAACAATGGATTGTTTTTCCTCGTTTTTCAAATCGATCTCGTTGAGATTTTGTCAATCAGCTGGAATTCTTCCATCAATTTTTATAGGTTCAAAAATCAAGCGTAAAGAAAATTATGTTTATCTCGAGTTTTCTATCATTTGATTGACAATCTTAAACAAAACTCGATGCTGACCGAACCATGTCAATCGAGATTAATAATCAACAGCAAATTTCGATCGAATGAGAATTCATTTAGATTTTGTCAGAAGCGTATACATTAACATTGAATCAAAGAAAAACTTGTTCTTATAGTTTGACAATATCTATTCTATTTTTGTTAGAAGTTTCACAAATACACTCCTAACAATACATGATTTGATGTTTTTTTCTTTCTTTGATATACTCTTCAGCCATGTCTTGACAAAATTCTCTTCAATCTCTAAGTTTAATTCAAGTGTCAAAAATTCTACAAACTGCAGTGTATTTATATTGATAACTCAAATCATTTTTAAACACAATAAATCTTAATTTGTATTTCTACTCTGATGCAACTGGATTCGCAATATTTTTCATGTCCGATTCGAAATTGTGAGATAAGGAGCCTTCGGTTTACATCCAACTTGAAGATAATAATTGTAGAGTTAATTTATCAAATTAGAATGAAACATGACAAGAGTATTTCTGCAATAAATTCTTCCGTTTTGTGTCGAATTTTGTTAAATTTTCTTGATTTTCAATTGAGTATTTGATCTTTCAATTAAACTGAAGGATATCGATACGTCGAAAAGGTGAAAGTGGTGGGTGGAGTGTGGGTATGGTTGCTGGCGTGAGTGTGGATCACCTATTCTTCATCACCCACATCCACACCCGACTTCGAATAGAAGCCAGAACTCTGATTTTGACGAATCTTGGTTTCTGAAGATATTAGTTCAAGCAGTTTGATTGAAGTCTTCGAATCTGATACTGCTGACAGAGAATTATTTCAGCTACACAAATGTTTTATACGTCAACATTCATTTAAGGTTGAGTTTCTCAAAAAAAAACATAATATTAGATACAATACATGAGGGTACATGTGAGGTATGAGTGTGGCTCTTCTCTTCATACCCACCCACACTTACATCTTCTTTTTTGAGAAAGAGAATATGGAGAGGGGAGAGGGGTGAGATTATGTGGCTGATTTGAGTCTGTCCCATGCGCGCATGAGCTTCATGTTCGCCACGATTCCATCAGTATGGTTCGTGGTCGCACGAGCGTTAATAGAATAGGTATTGCTTTCATCAATTCAACGTGATTTATTTGAAGCAGAGGAAAAAAGAATTAGTCATCGTAATGAGTCTATTCTATAGAAAAACGTTGAATACGATGATTATATTGATCGGTGACATATAAATTACCATGTCGATCGAAAGACAAACCAATGGGATGATCGAACTGATTAGCTCCTTCTCCCTGACCATTGCCACCTACAATGACAGTGCCTTGTTTCGCTCCTTGAGGCCAACGCATCACTCGATGATTATTGCGATCTGCTACATAGATGGTACCCAATGTATCGACGAACAGTCCCCAAGGATTCGACAATTGTGTAAGAGCATCCCCTTGGCCTTGACCCCCAGCGACAACAATTCCTTCTTTTGCATCTTTGTTCCATTTCATCACACGATGATTTCCGCTGTCTGACACGTAGACAGCCTCTTGTTCATCGACATAGATACGAACTGGAGTGTTGAGTTGATTTAAACGAGAACCCCAGTCATTGCCACCAGCTACGATAGTTCCATTCTGGTCTCCTATTCGATATCGTCTTACTACAGCACTACTCATGGCAGCGATGTAGAGATTTCTCTGATTATCCAAGACCAGTCCTGCACAAGAAGTGCCTTTGATGAGGAGTTCTCCTTGAGTTGTGCCACTACGACGAGACCATCGTACGGCTCGGTCATTGTCACAAATAATGAGACTATCTGTCTCTTTGTCAATCAATACATCACTTGGAAAATTGAATTGATCCAATCGATATCCTAGGCCATTGCCACCAGCTACAACTTGTCCCTTCGTATCACCTATCTTCCATTGCATCATACGATGATTCTCAAAGTCAGCAATGACCATCGTTTGATCATCATCAACGAAAAGACCAAGAGGACGATAGAGTTGATTGGTGCCATTGCCTCGTCCATGACCTCCAGCAACGGTCACACCAGTTTGTGCCCATTGCGCATCGGCAGGAATATTAGGAATCACTATAATGAACGAAAAAGAAAAGAAATCTTCATTGTCATTGTCGAAGAGATGCACTCTCTCGTGGGGCTTTAGTCTTCGAAATAAGTCTGGTAAAACTTTTTGCAATGTTCTTGCCATAGATGTAAATCCAGAAATCTCTTGCTAGGTTTCTATGAAAAGAAGGATCTTCTACTGATTCTTATATCTATGTCACTTCTAATAATTGCTAAGATTTTTTTGAATGTTAAAAAATGAAATCTTCCTAGTGGATGGAAACCACATCTGGGGATCACTGTATGGAGATTTTGCAAGAAAGAACAATGGTAATCCGATGCAAGCGTTCGACAGAACAACATTGGGATGTTAGAATTTCATTTATATGAAGACTAGACTAGGCTTAAAGCAATCAAAAATTTTCCTTGAACAACAAACGTCAAATCTAATCCCTATGTTTTTGGGAAGCTGCACGGGTTTAGTGTACACCTTTGAGGATGCTTTTCACATCGTGGAACAAATTTCCGAACCACATGATATAAATTATGTTTTCTTAACCAATCTTCTAACGTTAATACGAGTTTCTATCTTTGAACGAGATCTATGAGAACTCTACCATCAGAAAGTTTGAGAATAGCTTATGACGATCCTTCAAACTTGATACAGATCATTTATCGAAATCTCCAGTTTAAATGTTTAGGATTATGCCCGAAAGTGTCGAAGAATCACCATTTCGAGTCGTTGCAAAGCGAACCTAAACCTTACAAAGATAATCATGAGACAACAAAAGGGTTCATTGGCGACCTCTTTTGTAACATTTGTTAGACTTCCAACAAGGTTCAGGTGATATTCTATCAGAATTTTGTCAAGGTCTGGCTCAAAACTTTGAACAGAGATGCTAGTAGAATTAATAGCTATATGGGAAAAGGATGCCAGCTTGGTATAATTGTGTTGGGAATTCTCATTACAGATATTCAGAATCGTATTTCGATCGGTTTCCAGAATAAGCATCTTGAATTTTGGAAAGGTGAATTGTAATTCTAAAAAAGATCTTTATTTGGAAAATGTTAGGATTCAATGAGGACTTTAAACGATCCTACTCAATGGATGTCTACAAATTCTGCTTGAAATTTTAGTTTTGAAATAGAAATGCAGAATCATCACAGGATACATTCTCGATTCTAAACACATATTAATAGGATTAGCACAGAAAGTTCTAGCGGGACTTTATCATGTTCTTTCAAAATTTTCATCCAACTCTGCATCATAAGAGAATCTTAGCAAAAAATATCGAAAGATCCGTCAGATTTGCAAATCAAGACATTCTTACGAGATTTGATGATGATTCTTTGATTCCCAAGCATTGGTGTTATCAGTTTCTATTGTAACTGTTTAGGATTTTTGTCCAGACGGTTTCAAAGTATTGACATTGTGAATCTTTGCAAGAGAGCTGGTAACCATGATTAACAACTTGATTAGAGAACTAGGTGGGTGAGTTAGAATTTTTCAGGATATTTCTCCCAGGTTTTTTCTTTACTCCAGCCTAGTCAAAATCTTAATTCGAATTCCAAACATAGTTCTCGC